CTAGCCGTCGATATTGCTAGATGTTCTTTAAATTTACAGGGGACCTCGGGATACCTAAAAGGGGTCGGGATACTTTGTGCCCGAGGTTGGGCATTAATTGGGACAGCCATAGGTATAATTGAACAACCTATGTCCTCGGGAGTACTCCTCGAGGATGATGAGGACGAAGTGTCGCTACTGCTACTACTAGACATCCTGACCTAGGTAAAAAATACCTAAAGAATAACTTAAAAACTCGAGGTCTTACCTTAAAGTCGACGTCTAAAAACTCAAAGCTCGATCCCGACGATTAGCGAGAGAAGTTTACTGAGAGTAAAAAGTGAAAAATGAAATGAGGGGAGGGTATTTATAGGTAACAGGAGCAGGAAGCCCAAAGGTCACTACCCCGACCGTTAGATCTGGACACGTGTCCCACATCTAACCCTACCAATTTTTACCGCCTTTTCCTATTCTAGGGCTGACGTCAGTACGCGTCAGCCTTTTGATCAAGCACAGGTGTTCAGAAATCCCCGAGCTAAAACTTGAGCTTTTATTTCTAGTCTCTTTGCATCATATCCTCGAGCATTTCTTCGAGCATATATGCACGGGGGCCTATGATGGTGACATTTTACAATATCCCCGATCAGTATATCCCGAGGACTAATTTTGGTAAAGTTGTAAATCCATCTGTGGTGTCCTCGAGCATGTTCGTCCTCGAGACACAAGGCCCGACCACATCTCCATGATGCTTCGCATATTGCAAACATGTGTCCTCGGGCATAGTCCTCGGGAATGTGCTCCTCCTTACTGCTGACGATTGTTCACACTTTAGAATTCCTACGCAATTAGGAATCTTAGCTCCCACAAGAGTCCTATCTCACGCATAATTCTGGAATTCAACCAACTCCTTAACCATTCAGGACTCCAACAGATGAGGACATCCAACTAGTTGAGTCTAATTAGGAGAATGTCACTTACTACTATAAATACAGAACCTTGAACCATTATTCAGGTACGTTTTCTCATTGTTCTTCAGCATATAGCCTTTCGCATATATTTCCCTTTCTGACTTAAGCATCGGAGGGGCGACGAGAACACACCTCGTTGCCTTTGTTTCAGGTATCGGAAGATCACGTTCGTGCTCATCATCAGTCATCAAGCTCGGAAAATCTACAGGTACGATTTTTGGTAGCATCACTATTTAAGAAGATTTTACAATTACGAAAAAATCTTGTAGATAATATTTGGCGTGACATCATTGAAATATAGGAAAAAATGAAAACAAATAGTTCATTTACATTTTGCCACATCAACGTCAATACAAGTTCTGATAAATTTTTCTTGTATCTATGGTTTTATTGATTTAAGAATGTTTTAAAAAGCGTGGAATAGTACATGAAGGAAAGGTCTAACCTCAAGTTTACAAGTATAAGTACGCATATATGAAATTAGACATAATAAGACGTTATGATATTTTTAGAATTATATAAATTATTCTAAAATCATGAAAAATAATATTTTATTTAATTAGCTTATTAAACCTTCAAAAATTTATAAAAAGTAGAAAAAATAATATTTTATTTAATTAGCTTATTTACTTTCTTTTTATTCCCTTTTTTTTTTTCATATTTTTGTTACCGATTTTATAACATTAACGTCATGACATACCATTTTTTTGTTTTTTTTTTGTTGAAGGAGCTGAACTAAACCCATTATTTATTTATTTATTTATTTTATTCTAATCAGATCCTCATAACTTTGGATAAACATGGATGGCCCATGAAATTTCCCAAAAAGATAATTTTAAACTAATAACGTTCATCAATGAAACTACAATGGACCCACATAACTTTTAAAAAGTTAAAAAGAAAGTTAAGAAGTCTAAGCCCTTGTTTGAGCTACATTATTTTCTTTAGTATACATTTTTTTATAGTATATTGATGAAAAATATATGGTTAAAAAATAAAAAAAAGTTTTGAATTTAGTGTAATATTATTTTATTGAAAAATGTGTGGTTGAAATGATATCAAATCACTGTTTAAAAATGTATTTTTTTTAAATGTGGCTCGAATAAAAGTTATTTTTGAACTTATTTGACTAATTTTATGAAAGTCATTTTTCTAAATAAAAGAGTTTTTAGAGGAAACATGTTTAGTTTGACTTTCTCTAAAAATACTTCTAAAATAGGGAATCATTTTAAAAATTACTTTTCAAACACTAGAGGCAATAAAAGTTAAACTAAAAATCATGTCAAACAGACCACATATATATGATTTAGAAGTGATTTAAGGCTAAAATCACTTCAATGTTAAAGTAAAACCCCTGTTTGGTGGTGATTAGAACTTGAGTTTTAGTAAATTTTGATAGAAGTTGATAAAATGTATAGTTGAAAAATTATGAATCCATTGAAATGTGTAGTTAAAATTAATTATAAATTTTGACTTGGATTAAAATCTTATTTCTAATAGCACAAATTTATATGCGAAAAACTTGACCCGTCTATACGAATGTCTGACTCACACAACTATCTCAATGGAAAAAAAACTTTAGTGGGATAGTTGAACCGTCCACAATGAGGCGCCACCTCAGCGGGTGGCCCACACACCTCAAGGGGTGTGTGGTGGCCCACCGACCTAGATAGCGCACTTTAATAGGGCGGTCGCACCGCGTGAGGTGAGTGGGCCATTTGCTAAGGTGGCACATCTTGATAAGGCGGTTGCACTATCACGTGGTGCGACTGCCCTACAAAAGTTTTTCTCGTCTCAATAGACATGGTACGATCCCTATTGCCTTTATCAGGCAGCGTCTAGCAGTTTCTCTAACTTTCTCAAATTTAAATACACAAATTTAGGGTGATAAAAAGAGAAATATACATTTATTTCATCATAAGATGTGAAGATTCCTAGGTTGATTACATCATGTCTTATGGTTGGCAGATTTCAGGGCACGTGAAGAATAAATTGTTTCTTTCCTGTCTGGAGCCAATTGCGTGGGTACAACTGGCCAATCAATTCAGTGGAGGAAATCCGTCATCCATTCCAAAGAGACTGCAAAGTTCTAGGCCTCTAGGCTCGGCTCCATAAAGATTTGAGTCAGAAAGGCAAGTTGAACCTAAATTTTTTGATCGAGCAAAAGTTCGACTTTATTCGGACCAAAAATAAAATAAAATTCTAACCATTTTTTCTTGCCTGTTTGGAACCAAATGCGAGGGTACAATTGGCCATTTAAATGTCAACAAGAAGGATATCTATTGTGTATATCGCCCTTATTTGGTTTAATTTAAAAAAAAAATCATTGAAAATTAATAATTAATTTAATCATATATTTTAGGGAAAATGATAATTTTTTAATTATATATTTCATCAATTTTTATTACTAAAACTTAATTTTTGTATAAACTAAATAGAGGCTTACAGTTTACTCATTATTTTTTTGAAATTTATATTTTATTCAATAGTACAAAATACAGCTTCTGTATAAAATAATTGGTAACTAAATATTTTCCAAAATAATACAAAAATTTATAAATATGTCATTATAAAAGCTGAACACATTAAAAATACACTTCATTAAAAATATCGAATTATAACATGTACAATACTATAATTAACACTTTATATATCTCTTTAAGAATTTAATTATTATATATTTCTCATTAAAAAGTTAATTTCTTTTCTTCATTTCATATCTTCTTCATAGATTACCTTATGATTGAGTCTCTAACAACTTTAATAACATCGTTTTTGAAATTTTCATTGTTTACCGAAGATTATATATTTTTATTAAAAATATTTATATTTGCATTCTCTTCTGTCAAGTTTCATTCAAAAAAAAAAAAAAGAGAGACAAAGATCGTCCACAGCAAAAACCAAGACACTTGTGCAAGCATTTTTGAAATTTTGAAAGTTGAAAAATGATATAAATCAGAACTTCAACTTAAATCGAATAAGAAATTAGTTTTAAACTTCAAATTAATAACAAATACAGAAATTATCTTAATTTATTTTTCAAAATCTTTAACATAGAATATCACAAGAAAGAATTTTCATTTGTCATTGTATAATATTGGAACTGAAATAAAATTCAATAAAGTAGTTTATATAAATTTAAATAGGTCTATCAATATATGACTAATGCAAGACAACACTTGTTACACTTCGACCAACTTTCTCACCTATACTCTCACTAATCTATATAATATCAACTAGAACTTGATAAAGTTCAGCTCATAATTAAGTCAGATTAATATAATCTAGATGTCTAAAATCTTAATACAACATTTAAACAAATTATGAGAAACAAAAATCTACAAAAACAAAAACATAATGGAAACAACTTATCAAAAAGATATCACTGCTTCATTTGCAATTATTCCTTCAGTTGAAACAAATTGACGTGTACAAAAAAGGGCTTAATTCAGGCAATATTGTTGTTTTTTATCGATTGTTCGAGCACCAAGGTGCCAACTAGTTTCACCTTGATGAAACAAAAGCGAGTATTGTAGATAATCATAACATACAAAATAATATTGCAGTCCATACATATTGTTAGATTTATAGTAAACATCATGCAGTGGCAAACGTAGGCATTTTGAGTTAGGACACAATTAAACTTGCAAAAAAATTAGTGAAAAAATTAAAACATGAGATATCTTATTATAATTATTTTCTATGCATCCTCATACTTTGATAATGTTCTATAATTACATCATTTTCAAATATTTTCAAATATATCATTTTCAATATGTACAATCAAACTATCATTCAATCACTGATCATCCGATTCAATTTTAATAGTAGCCAAGGAAGGAATTAAGGTCAATATCACAAGCTTGTATGCTAATGAATACACTTGATGTTTATTTTTCGCAACTTCTTTACAAGTTCATTAAAACCTTGTAATCCTCCAAAATTTCCATCAATGTGCATGTCAAGAATATATGCATCAAGATGATCATCAAATTTCAAGATATCTACTACATCAAAATCTACCAAATAATATTCACATAGTCGAATCATTTTGTTTTTGCCAAAAGTAGCAAATGAATTATTTGAATACAATCACGTAATACAAAGGAGTAACCGTTGACTACAGTGAGACTACAAGCGACTGACAAGAGATTATGAGCAATTCAAAGTAGCGAGAGAACAGATGGAGAGAATTGGATTTGGGCTTTTTGTGAGGGTTGTTTTGACCAGAGAATTGGATTTGGACTTACTTTTTTTTATTAAGAAAGGTTGTTTTCTTTCCTAAGCATGCACCGAATAGAATGAATTAAAAAAAGGAAAAAATTTACAAATCATGTTTTAACTATGCACAATTCAAAAATCAGGTTTTAAGTTTAACTAATGCAAAAATATGGTTTTAGCTAATTAATTAAAAATATTTATTAATTAAATACAATGAGGTCACTTTTATACAATTAATGGTCGTATGAATATAATTATAGGTTACAATTTATTTATTGGTCACATATTAATCAAATTAATTGGTCACAAATCGAAAATTTTACAGATCACAATTTATGTAATTGGTTACGAATCCAAAAAAATTATAGGTCACATTTCACATAATTTCAAATTTGATGGTCACGATTACTTTTTTAAGTCACAAACGTTCGAATTTTAAGGCCACAATTTACAAATCCAAAAAATTATATGTCGCAAGTCACATATTTTCAGATTTGATGGTCACAAATTAATTTTTTATGTCACAACTAATCAAATTTTATGGTTACAATTTAATAGTTAGTTATAGGGAACCAAAGAGTTGGTCACAGACACCAAATGCTTGATCCCGATCCACTACAATATTTGGTCACAAACATTACCCTACCCCACAACAACACCATCACAACCATTGCCAACACCACCACCACTCCAAACTTTCAACAAACCTAACTAAAATACCTTAATAACAACCACAACACTAAGCCAAGCAGGCCACCCAATTGTCATCGCCACCTCTTGGCACTACCGGGCATCCACCACCATTCCAAAAACCAACAAACACCTAAATATCGCACCAATACACTTCCACACAAAAACAAGCGGTGATCACACCACCAACATCTACACCCACACCCACAACCGTCGCCACAACTTCCACGACAACCACCACCTTGCCACCACAACCATCAAAGCCACGTCCACCACTCCCAATTGGTTGCAATAGAAAGAAGGAGAAATTGTAGGATGCATGGCTTCATCACCACCAAATCAACATCACCGTCCCCCGACACAACACAACTATAAATATCGCCAACAACAACAAAACGATGGGTGTCTCAAGCCATGCTCATAGGTCTCTTCAATCGATGCTACACCGTCGAGAGATGTGGAAGGCGCAAGAACCAAGTTTATATGGAAAGGGATATGAAAGCGCCTGCGACGATGGCTTCTCTGAGGAAACTCAGCATCGATCGCGCCGCCGATCCGATAACAAATAGAAGGAAGACGGCTGCACTGTCAAGTGCTACGGCAAGGCGCAGGAACGAAGCTTCCTGTAAATGTGAAAATTACGTACATCTATATATGTATAATTATATATAATTACGAGAAATTGATTTAAATTATAGTGTTTCTATAATTACGTGCGTCTATATATGTTTAATTTTAATTTATATTAAAAATTAGGGTTAATAGCACAAAATGTCCCTACGTTTGACATTTATTGCGAAAAATATCCCTACGTCTAATTTTTTACATTTGACTCTTATTTCAATGGTTCATTGCATAACATATACTTTTTTGATGATTACTAAAAGAATTTGTATCTGTAACTTAATTATATAATTTTAGATGTTCTATTATTAAGTTTAGAATATTAATCGTAGAACTATCTATTATAAATAATTTGTAGTTGCTCTTGAAGTAACATAACATTATAAATAATATTTTTGAAGAAGAATATGAACTATATTTTTTAACATTTCCAAAAAATATTATTTGCTCTCAATGAATATGAATCATAATTTTCAATATTCCAAAATAATATTGACATATTGCTATGAAAAGCATGAATTTCAATTTTTTATATTTCAAATAAAGATATTGATTTATTACCGCTGAAGAAGTCATAGTAAAATATAAAGTACTTTCGAAGAAGCACAACTTTGCAAATATTGATATTTGTCTAGAAATCATACTCAAGAAGATTTAATCTTTTTAAATAATAATTTATTGGTGCTCCTTTAGTAGCACAACATTGTTCTAAAAGAATATTATTGTTCATGAAGCAACACACTATTATTGATAAATATTTTAGTTAGATTTCACTTACTCTTGAAGAGCATAATTAAACATGATCTAATATAAATTATGTTTTTACTCTTGAAGAGCAAATTCTTATATAATTTATTATTTTAATAATAATATATTATTGCTCTTGAAGTATGACCCGACGATTCCAATATTTCAGAAGGATATTAATGTTGCTCCTAAAGAAGCGAAAATAAAATATAACGTACTCTTAAAGTAGCACATGCTTTGAAAAATATATTATGTATACTTTATGAATTTGTGTTTATCTTTGAAGAAAAATATACGACTTATGTCATGTGGACATTGATCATTATATGATTATATAATGTTTAATCATATTTTTTGAAATTAATGCTTTGTTTGATTCTCATTTTTTCAAAAATGCATGTTTCTCTCTCTTTTTTTTTTTCAACCACACATTCTTCATAAAATAAGATTACACGTAAATTTAAAAAAATTTCTTATTTTTCAACCACACATTTTTCATAAAATAAGATTACACGTAAATTTAAAAAATTTTCTTATTTTTCAACCACACATTTCTCATTATTCTACTATTCTAAAATACATTTTTCATAAAAATGAGGCCCAAACACCCTCTAAATAATTGAATTAAATTTATACTGAACAAGAAGTTCAATTCGACTTTATTATTTGGCATGACCAGTTTGATCATCACTAGATTAATAATGATGCGAAATTAAAAATTCAAATGGATATGTAATAAAGAACAAAAAAATTCTTCAATTCAAACATTTATGACGTGTGTTCTCTTTCATTAACAACAACTAGTTAAAATAGGGACTGAATTCCCTATATTTCTGAAAATTAATTAGTGTGATAAATGGGGCCACATCATCCTCCACGTTGATCATCTAAATATTGTTTATATCTAATAGATTTGTTACATATACTAGATGATTACATGGTGTTAGTAATCTGAAGTTTGTGAAATTACTGCTCAGATTTAAATTTGTGAGCTTGATTTTTAGAGTATACAATCACGACAATGTCTTGTTAATGTTAGTAATTAAAAATCTCAATATTTTAATAAGTGTTAGTTAGGACGTCGACAAATTCTTTAACACTATTATTCGTTAAACTCCCCCAATTAATTGAGAACAAACTTCTTCCCAATTTTGTAGAAATGCTATCACGCATCATGTTAATATCATAGTTCCTCTTGTTATAATTGACTTATGATTAGAGCCTAATTTTTTCATTAGATTATTCTTCACCTCTATCGGATCTCACTATCTTAATTATTTTACCGCATTAATGTTTCAATACTTCAGCTTTAAATACCTTAAAAGCATCTAGTACTTCATATTTACTGTTAAGCGAGTAGAGATACATGTATCCTGAGTAATCATCTATAAAAGAGATGAAGTATTTATCGCGGTATGCATCCATGTCTGGACTACAAATATCTATGTATATGATTTCCAATAATTCAGAACTTCTCTTGGCACCCTTTTTCGACTTGCTATTCTGCTTTACCTTAATGTAGTCTATACAAGTCCCAAAGTCCATAAAATCTAGAGTACTAAGTACCCTAAGTCCTACAATGAATTGGTCACATAGATCATAGAACTAAAATCAATCCACCATGTGTTATGATTACTATCAATCATATTGGATTCAAAACAAACAGGTGAGAGTTGAGTAACCTTTTTGTCAAGCCACTTCATGAACTTGGAGCATTGCTTCTTAACGTGCCGCTTCTTCTTGCAAAAAAGCACACAATCTTCTTTTTAATGTCCTTTTCTGGACGGATTTTTCCCTTTCCCTTTTCCTTGGCCTGATCTTTCTTCTTCTTTCTTGGAGTTGTCAAATACATATTTTCCTTTTCACCTTCCTCTATAAGTAGTCTGGCCTCTTTCTGAACACACATGGTCAGCAACTCATTAATGGATCATTTATCTTTATGCGTGTTATAGGAGATCTTGAATGGGCCATATTGTTCAGACAAAGTGCAAAGGACATAGTGAACCGGGAATGATTCGAACATCTTAACTTCCAATGTCTTGAGTTGGGTTGTTATATCTCTCACGCGCATGAAATGATCACGCACAACCTTAATGTCGATGAGCTTCAAGGATGAAAATTGCATAATGAGAGTGTTGTCCATCGCTTTATCTGAAGTGACGAATTGTTTGTCAACGACCTTAAGCAAATCTTGGACTTTGTCATACTACTCGATGGAGCCCATACTACTAGCATATATTTTCGTCTTTATGAACATAACGGAAAGACGATTAGATCGCTCTTACTTTTCATAAAGTTGAACTGCCTCTAGAGTGCTGGTAGTAGTTACTGTAGGGGGCTCTTCCTTCCTTATGGCGTAATCAATGTCCATCTATTCCAAGTGATGGAGAATTCTCTCCGTCCAGACCTTATAATTATCCTCTTTCAGCTCTGGAAAATCACGTTTCATATTAGAGAAATTAATAGGTTGACTTGTTGCAATAAATCAAACATTCATGCTCATTTTACAAAATTTGAAGCTAACATAATATAAGATATGTTTTACCGATATAAAATCATGCAAAATATAAATCTAGTGACATAAGACTTGCATGTGGGCTGAAGTTCTAATTCACTTAGATTCATATTAACTTCACAATAAAACTATCAAATTATGTTCCATTTTCTAATCCTTGGGGGCAAATTAGAAAATATAGTTTGATATTTTATCTTAATTAATAATAGATATATAATAAAATTCTTGTGGGATAATATTCATTATATTAAATATGATTAACCACAATTAATGTCTTTATTCAATATGTGATTCTATACATTTAATATATAATTTTGTATAATTAAGGATGCTGTGGCTACTCCCCAATTAATTAAATTATATGGATCACTCAACATTTAATTTAATTCACAAAAATATGCTCATATAAATTGTACAAAACCATAAGCAATATGAACACAAAAATTAAATTTCAATGCACTAAATTATTTAACTCAACATTGCATATACAACAAAACAATAAAAATTATACATACAAAACAATATAACACCTGTTTGGCCCCCATTCTTGCTAAATTTTAATGGTTGGAAAAGTATTTTTTTGAAAAATGTGTGGTTGAAAAAAATGAAAAGTTTTTTATTTGAGTTTAATATTATTTTATGAACGATTATGTAGTTAAAAATAAGAGAGAAAAATAATGAGAAGGAAAATGATGGCTAAATGGGGGCAAAATAAGTTTAGTATATATGAAAACAAAATCACCAAATAATTCTCATTAATTTTCAGCACATGGGTCCACAAAGAGATACAATTTCAAAATTTTCGGCTAGTACTAGTACAAGTCCAAAATTTTATTAAAGTAATCCGAAATAATAATATTAAACATTCAATTTCTATTATATCAAGGACGGCCTTTATTTCATACAAGTGGGCCCACGTGCTAGAAACTAATCGTTAAAACAAAAACCATTCTTGTACCTTAACTAGTAAGAGACAAGGAAGGGCCACTGCATGTCAACATAAGTTGCCATGTCTTCTTGCAAACAAGTTTGAAAAGATTGTTTACTATTTTATTTTATTTTTTTTTTGTTTTTTTTTTTATTAGAGGTTATCTTCAACCTCCCGACGGGTCGATGTAACCCGGTTTCAACCCGAATGAAAAACCCTTTCATATCTCATGATTCCGACCACCAAATCTCTCATATTTTATATCAAAATTCTCAGAAATCGATTTCCTAATGATTCCTAATCTCAGTTTCTATATAACAGTCTAAATCAAATGCCAAAATTTTCGACAGAATGTGCACAGGCTAAGAACAAATAAGGCAAAGGCAAAACGAAGGCTCTGATATCAAATGTAAGTCACCTTAAGCGATCTAAACATGCTTTAATAAACCAAATAACATTTAGATCAATGCAGAGTAAAATGGATCGAAAACGAACATCCCGCCATTACCGTTCTTGACGCACTCATTCAAGCTTGTAGGTAGTGTTTAACTGCGGGTTAAGGCTCTTCTAAGCTCTCTTTCTCACTGCTTAGATGGTGCATACAAACTGAACATGAAAATGATCTTAGGGACCTTCCGAATGCATTTTATAAATGCTCTGCCCATCACAGAGTAATTTTTTTTTTTTGCACGTCCTTAGAACATGGGTAGTTATCAAATGTGATTTTTAAACATTGGGTCAGTTGCTGAAGTAGTGGGATATGGGATATGTGGACCACTCTTAAGTCGGTTTTACACTCTTACTTGCCTGATATTTTTTCCTCTTACTTTTTGTCTTGTAATAAGCAGTCTGGGTGATTGGACTTCAAAACCAAATACCAGATCAACTTGACTCACCTACTCTCCATTCAACATATACTATATCTTGCTTCTTTATTTTTATGTTTTACGCACTTTACTATCCGAAACTACTATGACATCAAATAGAATAGCTCCAAAGCACCATCTCAGCATCATCGTTTTCCAAATCATCCCAGCCGAAACTGTAGTCTAAACGAGGTTGTGGTGACAACAAAACTCCTTCCATATTTGTCTCTGAATCCTTATTCATATTAAAAATATCACAATCTGATAGTGTTTTTGTTGTGTCCAATGTTGTCAAATTGCCACTTGAAACCCCCTCAGAATTCATCTCATTTTCTTGCATTATTGTCCCACCACCACCACCCCCCTCGAACGGCCTGAACAGTTCTGCCGCCTCTATTGCCGCCTTCTGAATATCCTTAACATCTTCAGAAACCGGCACCGGCAAGCACCAGACAGAATCGGCGAAATTCAGGCATGCCAACTGACCTCTGAATGCTAATGCAGCAACATCATGAGCACGTGCTGCCATTTCTGCAGTAGGATGAGTTCCTAGCCATATCCTTTTCTGATTTCTCGGTTCACGTAACTCGCATACCCATTTGTTTGAATTCCGCTGTCTAATGCCTCGATAAACAGGGTGGCGAGTTTCCTTGAACTTCTTCCTTCCTGTACGTTTCTTGGGCTGACTCGACGCCAAAATAACCTCTTCGTCAGAATGTCCCTTCAACGATGTAATCTCAGGCATGTCGGAAACGCAGAACGGATTTGGGTCAGAATATGAACTTAATGAATCCATGAAAATTATGATCAAGAAGCAGAGAAGAGAATTATATATGTAATGATTATTTTGCTTACTAGGGTGTTGCTAAGTTTGGACTGGGCAAATGACAGAGGCTTTTATAATTTTGTGGTAAGAGCAAAGAAAGGAAACCCGGGCGTCATTGCCTATGAATTGGACACGGGGAATATATAAGAAAGATCCCACAAAATTCCAGGCTGGCATGACAAGGGGCCCACTTTCGGAGGATATTTTGAGCCACATTATTTCAAAACGTGTGGTGATAATATCTTAGTTTTTGGGTACCACAGAATGAAAGTTTGGATTGAACTTTGAGAAAAGCGTTTAGGATATTTTGAGCCACTTGACAGTTTGTTATTGTAGTTAGTTAAGTAAATGGTTATTATATTATTAATACTCTTTAAGAATGTTTTAAAAAGCGTAGAATAGTCTAACCTCAAATTTACAAGTTTAAATAGGCATATACGAAATTAGACATAATAAGACGTTTTGATATTTTTAAAACTATTTAAATTATTCTAAAACCATTAAAAATAATATTTTATTTATTTAGCTTATTAAACCTTCAAAATTTTCTAAAGAGTAGACAAAAAATTTTTAAAAAAAAATGCACGTTTTTTTTGCACCAATGCCAATATTATGTCAACGATAGAGTTGACTGTATTTTCCATCCATTTCTTATATGCCAGACATTTTATTGAGCTTTGCTTTAAATCTTGCATTTTCTTGCTTTTTAGAACATCATTTTAAATGTTTTTTGCCTACTTTTTCATCAAGAAAATTGCTTTTATAATTTTCGAAGTATTCGATTCTTATATCGAATTATCAATATGCTTCGAGAGACCTTTTTTTTTTCCTTACTTTTAATTTACATTAGAGAATTTTTTAACTTAAAGAATATTACTTTCTTTTTATTCCCTTCTTTTTTTTCATATTTTTGTTACCGATTCAATAAAATTAACGTCATGACATACCAAGAATGTGGTATATATGTGCCGAGTTATCGCAATCCAATTTACATTTCCATGGGCGAAAGTTGTTTATTACTAGACACTTTTCTATTTTTTAACAAATTTTTGAGCGACTGTATGAACTACAAAGAATACGATAATTGATGATGTTTGGTTTAATAAAAATCAAATTTTTTGTAGCTTTCAATAAAATTTAATGAAATGTATGATTAAGAGTTGATAAAAGTTGGAAGTTTCTCAAAATGTACAATTAAAAATGAGCTTTAAAAAATGGGGACCAAATATGGGCTAAAATTTAGCAACTTTTCAACTTGTCAAAATTCAATTTTAATCACATTTTAATTTTCATAGAACTCATAACTTTTATCAATTGTTCAACAATAAGTCTCTACAATTTTTATCAAAATCTCTCAAATTTGTTATCAAAAGTTTTGTCAAACAACTCCTAAATCACTTAGACGAAAATTAACAATTACATAATTTTCATTTATGTAGGAGTTATTCATCTATAAAGTTTATATTTATCGACAAAAAAAAGGAGTTATTGACCTGATAAAATTACATACGTTTGAAATTGTATGTTTTAATTTTAGATTTTTTGTTGTAGGAGATGAACCCATTATTTATTCATTTATTTATTTTATTCTAATCAGATCCTCATAACTCCGAGAAACATGGATGGCCCATGAAATTTCCAAAAAAGATAATTTTAAAGTAATAACTTTCATCAATGGAACTACAATGGACCCACATAACTTTGAAAATGTTAAAAAGAAAATTTTGAAATGTAAGCCCTTATTTGAGCCACATTATTTTCTTTAGAATGTATTTTTTAATAGTATATTGATGGGAAATGTGTGGTTAAAAAATAAAGAAAAGTTTTGAATTTGGTGTAATATTATTTTATTGAAGAATGTGTGGTTAAAATGATATCAAATCACTATTTAAGAATGTATTTTTTGAAAAAACATGTGGCTCAAATAAAAGTTATTTTTGAACTTATTTGACTAATTTTATGAAAATGATTTTTTCTAATTAAAAGAGTTTTTAGAGGAAATAGGTTCAGTTTGACTTCTTCTAAAAATACTTCTAGAATAAGGAATCATTTTAAAAATTACTTTTCAAACAAAAATTATAGTAGCATTTCTAATAAGCTCTTCTAGAGGCAATAAAAGTTAAAATAAAAATCATGTCAAATGGGCCCTATATATATATTTTAGAAGTGATTTAAGGCCAAAATCATCTCAAAGTTAAAGTAAAATCCTTGTTTGGTGGGGATTAAAATTAGAATTTTAGTAAATTTTGATAGAAATTGATAAAATGTATGGTTGAAAAGTTATGAATCTATTGAAATGTGTAGTTAAAATTAATTGTTAATTTTGACTTGGATTAAAATCTTATTTTTAATAGCACAAATTTATATGTGAAAAACTTGACCAGTCTATACAAATGTCTGACTCACACAACTATTTCAACGGAGAGAAACTTAAGTAGGACGGTTGCACCATCCACAATGAAGCGCCACCTCAACGGGTGGCCCACACACCTTGAGGGGTGTGTGGTGGCCCACTCGCCTAGGTAGCGCACCTTAATAGGGCGGTCGCACTGCGTGAGGTGTGTGGGCCACCCGCTGGGTGGTGCACTTTGATAGAGTGGTTACACTGTCATGTGATGCGATCATCCTACAGAAGTTTCTCTCGTCTCGATGAGCATAGTACGATCCCTATTGCCTTTATCAGGCAGCGTCTAGCAGTTTTTCTAATTTTTTCAAATTTAAATACACAAATTTAGGGTGATAAAAAGAGAAATATGCATTTATTTCATTAGGTTCAATAAGATGACCAAATCATTGGTGGTGTAATGCGAAGATTCCTAGGTTGATTATGATTTGACATTATTTCAACTACAAATTCTTCAATAAAATAATATTACATACAAATATAAAATTTTTCTTTATTTTTTAACTACACATTTTCAATCAATTTTGCTATCTGTACACTTTTTTTGACATTAAATTTGACACTGTGCCACTTGTCGCACAACGAATGGCTAGTTTTAAAATGAAAAAAACTTTTCTGGCCATACATGTTTGAATTTGGAAACATTGTCAAATTCTATGTACAATATGGAGTGTACAAAGAGTATTATTCATTTTCCATTGATTTGACATGAATAATGCATTTTTTTCCTAAAATGTGGTTCAAACATAGACTTATTGTGTGTACATTGCCCTTGTTTGGTTTAATTTAAAAAATAAATCATTGAAAATTAATAATTAATTTTAATAATATATTTTATGAGAAATCATAATTTTTTTAATTATATATTTCATCAATTTTTATTACTAAAACTTAATTTTTGTCCAAACAAAATAGAGGCTTACAGTTTACTCATTATTTTTTTTTTGAAATTTATATTTTATTCAATAGTACAAAATACAACTTTTGTATACAATAATTGGGTAATTATATAATTTTCCAAAATAATATAAAAATTTATAAATATGTCATTATAAAAGCTAAACACATAAAAGTACACTTCATTAAAAATATCAAATTACACCATGTACAATACTATAATTAACACTTTATATATCTCTTTAAAAATTTAATTATTATATATTTCTCGTTAAAAAGTTAATTTCTTTTCTTCATTTCATATCTTCTCCATAGATTACCTTATGATCGAGTCTCTAACAACTTTAATAACACAGTTTTTGAAATTTTCATTGTTTACCGAAGATTATATATTTTTATTAAAAATATTTATATTTGCATTCTCTTCTGTCAAGCTTCATTCAAAATAATAATAATAATAAATAAATAAATAAATAAAGAGAGACAAAGATCATCCACAACAAAAACCAAGACGCTTGTGCAAGCATTTTTGAAATTTTGAAAGTTGAAAAATGATATAAATCATAACTTCAACTTAAATTGAATAAGAAATTAGTTTTAAACTTCAAATTAATAACTAATACAGAAATTATCTTAATTTATTTTTCAAAATCATTAACATAGAATATCACAACAAAGAATTTTCATTTGTCATTGTATAATATTGGAACTGAAATTAAATTCAATAAAGTAGTTTATATAAATTTAAATAGGTCTGCCAATATATGACTAAGGCGAGACAACACTTCGACCAACTTTCTCACCTATACTCTCACTAATCTAAATAATATCAACTAGAACTTGATAGAGTTCGGCTCATAATTAAGTCAGATTAATATAATTTAGATGTCTAAAATCTTGATACAACATTTAAACAAATTATGAGAAAAAAAATCTACAAAAACAACAACATAATGGATACAACTTATCAAAAAGATATCACTGCTTCATTTGCAATTATTCCTTCAGTTGAAACAAATTAATGTGTACAAAAAAAGGGCTTAATTCAAGCAATATTGTTGTTTTTTATCGACTGTTTAGCACCGTGGCGCCAACTAGTTTCACCATGATGAAACAAAAGTGAGTATTGTAGATAATCATAACATACAAAATAATATTGCAGTCCATACATATTGTTAGATTTATAGTAAACATCATGCAGTGGCAAATGTAGGCATTTTGAGTTAGGGCACGATCAAACTTGCAATAAATTTGTGAAAAAAATTAAAGTATGCGATATCTTATTACAATTGTTTTTTATACATTCTCATACTTTGATAATGTTCTATAATTACATCATTTTCAATATTTTCAAATATATCATTTTCAATATGTACAATCAAACTATCATTCAATCACTGATCATCTGATTCAATTTTAATAGTAGCCAGGGGAAGAATTAAGGTCAATATCACAAGCTTGTACGCTATTGAATACACTTGATGTTTATTTTTCGCAACTTCTTTATAAGTTCATTAAGAACTTGTAATCCTCCAAAATTTCCATCAATGTGCACGTCAAGAATATATGCATCAAGATGATCATCAAATTTCAAGATATCTACTACCTCAAAATCTACCAAATAATATTCACATAGTCGAATCTTTTTGTTTTTGCCAAAAGTAGCAAATGAATTATTTGAATACAATCACTTAATACAAAGGAGTAACCATTGACTGCAGTGAGACTAAAAGCGACTGATGAGAGATTATGAGCAATTCAAAGTAGCGAGAGAACAGGTCAAGAGAATTGGATTTGGGCTTTTTGTGAGGGTCGTTTT